GAGATAATGAAGTATAAAATCCCACTGCTTCACATCACCTACTCTCCCCACCACTACCTCTGCTGCAGGTTTACTATCATGCTAACATTGAAACTTAGAAAACTGTTCCTGTATTCTAAACAAAGGGTTCTTTTGCCATTACCTGGACAACAATTCCATGTTTATTCTGTATTTGGCAGTTTGCAGCAGGTTCCACAATCCCAGTCTAAAACAATTCTGAAATGCCTGACCAGAAAAACAGAACAAGAGAGGATTCTTCTGAACTCGGTGCAGGTCAGAAGGAAGAATACTTCAGTGATGTCTGAGAGGGAAGCAAATCACAAGAGAATACACCAAGGAAACCAATTGTTTAATATACCCTGAGGCTTAAAAAGCAATCAAAAATATAAACCAATTACTAATCCAATTAAAAAAAAAAGTTATTACAACTATCTCCTCATTTGCAAATAATGTGAAAGTGAGAGGAAAAAAAGTTTTCAAGGTAATCCCACCAGCATACTTCTCTACACTTAATTTCTTTCCCATGCAACTTGTTATCAAGTAAAGCCTATTAGATCTTTCTCACTGTCGTATCTCCATTCTCATTCTTCTTTTACTTTCTCCTTGTTACCTTAGCATCTCTCTTTCCCAGAAATTGACAAGAAAAGTATCAACATTTTATTTACTGAGAGACAGAAGATACCTTTTATCTCATAAAAAGTTACTTTGTCAGTCAAACTTCCACTAAATAATTTCTCCTCATTGCCATACACGTTTTCCTGCCTTTTGAAACAAAAATACACCACTCCTATGAAACCCAGGAATGGAGCGGAAGGAAGCCTGTAGGGAAGCAACAAAGCAACCACAGCTTTTTATCAGCTGGAACACCTCATGCAGCTGAAAACAGAAAGTCACATTCCATCAGGCTGGAAGGACACACATCTATAATGCACCTTGCGGCAGCATGAATTAGAATATGGAAACTATATGGATGCAATAAGGGACACAGGTAGTCTCAGCAGATCCAGGAACTACCCTAGCTTTAAATGATGGTCACTGTTCTTGACTGGCTATTTTAGGAAAATAAATGTAAATGTTCAAAGTCACCACTACTAGCCATTATCAATCATCCTTCTCTTCAGTCCCACAAACACACCACACAAGGACTGGGGATACAATCCCACAGTTTTCTGAGAAGGGCTGCACCAAAGTATTGCATCATCTGTATCTGTATGGAGAAGGCACAGACCTGGAGATTCAGGATCATCAGCAATAATGACTTTTAAATTACAATAATAATGAAGATTCCTTATGAAGCTCTGAGTAAAAATTCCCAAAGTTGATTGTAACTCGAACAAGCTCTATGTTAATTTATATTTGCTGATAGCCAATAACCTCACTGAATGCCACTGGATATTTAAAGCTAAAGAAATGTAAAAGATGATGCTTGAGCTTGCACAGTCCTCAAAAAATGCTTGGGTGTCTATCCCTGACTGCCTGAGGTGCAACACCTTCCCAGAATTGTATATCGTATGTTGCATAATGATATTTTACTTTTATCTGGACCACTCAAAAGCTGTAGCATCCAGCCACTTTGGGTTTTGTCTGCACTGCTGGTTTAGGCCGGGCTCCCAGAGGAGTTTGCACACAGATCTATTGTATCCCACCGAGCTGTCGTTGATGATAAGTGGGACTACTTGTGGCAACACAGCCAAGCAGGTGCCAGCAGTGTTTGCAATGTGATACCCAGGCAAACTTGTGTAACGTTTGTGAAAAGCTGATGCTCATACCAGCCTTCCCCCCACTGCCCCAGCAAGAACTGCAATATAATGTTTAACAAGCAAACGTGACTTCAACAATGTTTAACCCATTTTGGACCAAATAAATCCCAATTTAACATTATGATGAACATCACTGTGGACAAAAAGTAATCATAGTTAACCATCCTGTCAATTAGTAAAACTAAGAAATCACAGACTGATCGACTCTTGACCACCTGTTTTAGAAGGTCAGAGTAAAATCCTGCCTCTCCTGGAAAGTAGGGGCAGGATTTCAGCAGAGTCCAGATTAAAACAACGACACAAACGTGTTGTTAAAACAACACGAAGTGCAGATATGGGAATATACAGCTAAAGCTCTGCCTTTCTCTAGGAAAACCTTGAAGGTAGGCTAGCAAAAGGAGAATATGCTTTTTTAAGGGACCCCTGGAGCACTTCTGGAACAGTTGCATGCAAAAGGGGTCCGGTTTGTTCACTCAGAGGGCTCTGTGCAACAGGCAGAGGGACACCCAGAGAGATTCACTTCAAAAGAGACAGACTTCAAAAGCTCCTTCCCAATCCAAAGCGAGATGCTAATATCCACACCACCCACACTCCTCCCCGCCCTGCCTGGGTCGGTTCCTGCCTGGCTGGGGGGGCACAGCCCACAGGAACCCCACGGACACCCAGCACGGGCAAGGGCAGAGCCCCGCACGCCCCGAGCCTGCCCCAGCTGCTCGCCACCCCGCAGAGCCTCTGACAGTGATGGCACGAAACTTCTGACAGCCTTATGAAGCCTGTTAGCTCCGTTTGCTTGCTCTTCACGATTCTTAAATTTTGTTTATAAGGAGAAGGCAAAAATTACCGTGCTTATTTGAGTAATCCCCAAGTCAAATGAAAGAGTGCTGCGTTTAGCCACGTATCAGGGTCTCAAAGTACCTCCGAGGAGTAGCAGGGCTCCTCGCTAGCACTGCACACCCTCACGTGCCTCTGCTGCACAACACATTGCTAGACAGAAATAAGATTTTTATAGCAGCGCTGTTATTTCCGACTCATAGAGATCAAATCCCCCGCGTTCATAAGGAGTTCCAGTCCTTCCCTGACCTAAGAGCAGCTGTGAGTAGCGGAGGACTTTGTGTTTGTCTGGGTTGAGAGGTTAATGGCTACTCCACAGACACGTTTTTTCCAGTTAACTGGCAGGTCATTTTAGCAGATGATTTGCAGGTGTTACGCAACACTTAGAGATAACCCTGTGGAGTACTTCTGTCTGAGCTTCTTTGTCTCTTTTCTTTTCTGAACTGCATCAGATAAATCAGAGAAACCAGGCAGGTGAGACTTTCATGGACTAATCACACGACAAACTGCCCTTCCAATTTCCACACAGCCAACTTCTCCAAATAAATGTCAAATGTAGTTCAGTGCTCGTTAAAATTACCTTAAAATCCTAGCCATAAAAAACTTAAGCATTTCAAGCATCTCAAAACACACAGCAGACAGTCCATTCTGATGAACATCACAGCACAAAGTTCACACCTTCACAAAACATGGAAAGAGATGCTGGAATAATCGATCTCCTGCATAAGAAAACAGGTCTTCACTCCTACCTGAGACTTCACCCACTTAAACCATGTAAATCACTATCCTGAGAAAGGAATCATCCATGCCAGCTATTTTTCTGCACTGAACACACTCTTCATCTAGCCTAACGACTCTTTCATGCTTTGTGCTCCAAGATGAGTGCTTATCTTCTGCTACCAGATAAAGAGCTACTGGTTCAAACAGACAGTGACCATGCAATCATCTGCACCTTAATCCAAATGTTTTTCTTTAAGGTCACGAGCCTACTTTCTGTTTTTCCTACTAGTTCTCACAGGACACAGAAACAGCATTTACCTTACCACATAAGCTACACCTTAGCATTTTGGAAGAACCAGGAGTGGCTTTTTCAGGGGATACACTGCAGCAAAATCAGTCAGCTCAGTTAATATCACTTTCATTTTTCTGAAGAAAAAAGAACCTCAAGCCTGCAAACACAAGGGAGAGTGTGGCTCACTTTTCTGAGGCCTTGCTGCACACTGTGGGCACTTTTACAGCAAAACAGTTGCTGCTGGGATTATGCCACAGTTTGATTATTATTTTTCCAATCATCTCCCCAAGTGTGATTTTACACACCTAGTACTTTGAGCCTTTTTTTTTTTTTTTAACAAAAATAACACAAATCTTAGTTTTAGTCTGCAGAGAGAGGCAGCAAGAAAAGTATCTGGCTAAACCTTTGAAAGTCAACAGAAATATGGGATCAGGTCCACAGTAAACTTTATAGAGTGGCACCTGAAGAGGAAATTACTCATTGCACGATTGATGTCACAATTAGAGGCATAAAAAGTAATTCCATGATAAACAAGCAACTGAGCAGAAAAAGATAATATCCTAAGAGTGTGTTTATGCTCAAGTGAAAGTACATATGGGACAATATGCAACAGTTTTCACATACACACACAGACACAAGCTCTCCAATGAAGTTAATGAACAGCATTCCTCCCTCTCCCTGTTTCTCCCTCCCCGTAACAGGCCTGATTTGGGGGCTGCAATTGGCCAATATCTGTCCCTAGTGCCACTAAAGCAGCTCCAGTGCCATTAGCCATGTCACACAGCTATCACACTGCCATAACTCACTGCTTTCAGAGCTGCCATTTCCCACAGGAGTGCAGGTCAGCAGTGCAAACACAGCAGAACATCCACCTGGGCCACAGCAGCCCTGGGCTGAGGTCTAAGGAATTACCAGCCAAACCTCTGGGTACACAGAAGGGAGTAAACATGTTTTGTTGCTGAAAAGGCAGAGATATCAAATTTAAACTTTTTTTTACAGAAAAATAGAGGGAGGGGAGAGAGCATTACAGATACCCGTGCATTCCCTACATCTCTGCAAGTTACATCACTTACTACCTTTAGGGAACCACATCAGAAAAGCTCCAGCCTCAGTACCAGCCTCAGTACCACCTCAGCTGAGGGAGTATGCTCCCTTCCATGCACACTCATGTTTATTTATCCTTGTGATCCACGTTTACTAAATAACTTCAAAGCACCACTTCAACCCACAGCACATAGACTTGATAGAATTTTGTGGTTTCTCTCCAAAAACTTCACAGATAAATTACTACTTCAGGAAACCAAGAGCTACTCTAAACTGCAAGGGTGTTATTTCTGCCCATGCCCCCATACTGGTCTGACAAACAAATCATGCACTCAAAAATCATGCTTGCTTACCTGAGACTGACACTTTCATAAGGGCTTCCAGGGGTCTGTTGTTGTCCAGATCACGACTGAGTTTGAGCTCCCCAGTGACAGAGTCCAAAAGGAGCAAGTTTAATTCATTGCCTTGGACAAAAGTGTAGGCCAGGCTATCAGACACATCAGGATCATGAGCTGGGATCTTGCCAATCACGCCAGAGGGAAAGCTGTTGGACTTGTTGGTCACGTAGTTATTGAAGAGGATCTGGAAGTCCTGCAGCACGGGTGGGTTATCGTTCTGGTCCAGGAGGCGGATGTGCACAGTTGCTCGGCTCACAAGAGGCGCTGAAGTGGCCTGCACCACAATAACATACTCTGTCCTGCTCTCATAATCCAGGTCCATTAGGGCTGTGAGGTCTCCATTGAGCAAGTCTAGTTGGAAGACCTCAGGGATGTTCCCCTCTACAATCTGGTACATGATCTGTGCATTGGTCCCCTCATCAGGATCAGCTGCACTGATCCGTGCCACAATAGAGCCCACGGGGCTGTTCTCCTCCACAAAGATATCAAATTCATCCTTCTCAAAGACAGGGGGGTTGTCATTAATGTCCAGCACAGTCACCTGGATGTCCACAGAGGCCTTCAGTGGCGGGCTGCCCCTGTCCACAGCAAAAGCCCGCAGGCTGTACACAGCCACGTTCTCGCGGTCCAGCTTGCGCAGCGTGCGTATCACTCCAGAAGTGGGCTCAATGTAGAAGTCCCCATCTCCATCGTCACCACCTTGGAATGTGTAGAGGAGACGGCCATTGAGGCCCGAGTCACGGTCAGTGGCAGACAGCTGCAGGACACTGGTGGAGAGCGGCACATCCTCAAAAACTGAGCCCTGGTAGCGGTCGCGCAGGAAGCGGGGTGCATTGTCATTGGCGTCCAGGATGAGAATCTCAACGTACGTCGTGTCCGATTTCTGGGGGATACCATTGTCGTGGGCTGTAATAGCCAACGTGTAGGAGGCCTGGTCCTCATAGTCCAGCTCCATCAGGGTGGTGATGGTGCCTGTATCAGGGTCAATGCGGAACTGGGGGATATTATCGTCCAAAATATAAGTGATTCTTGCATTCTCCCCTGTGTCTTCATCAGTGGCACTGATGGTGACAATAGAGGTGCCAATGGGCTTGTCCTCACTGACACTCACTGTGTAGTGGGAGCTCTGGAAGACTGGGCGGTGTGTGTTGGCATCTGTGACATTGATGAAGACCTGGACAGTGTCAAAGCGAGTGCCATCAGAGGCAGTGACTGTGAGCACATACTGCCTCTCTTGCTTGTAATCCAGGGGCAAGGCCAGTGTGATCAGCCCTCCTCCACTCTGACTGGTGATGGCAAAACGATTCCTGGTGTTGCCACTGGTAATCTGGTAAGTCACAACACTGTTAACGTCCCTGTCCACTGCTGTCAGGGTCAGGACACTGCTGCCCACAGCTGCATCCTCGTTCAGTCTGAGGTGATACACCTTCTCTGTGAAGGTGGGATTGTTGTCGTTCACGTCCAGGACAGTGATGGACACGCTGGCTGAGGAGGTCATGACCGGCACACCGTGGTCCCTGGCCTCCACCCCAAAGTGATAGTTTTCCACAGTCTCTCGGTCCAGCTCCGCAGCCACAGTGATCCACCCCGTGCTGTTGTTGATTTGAAAAGGGAACCCAGAGTCACTTGCTACAGGGGCACCTCCAGCGGATGGTGCCATCTCTATGAGTTTGTACTCCAGGCGGGCATTCTCTCCAGAGTCAGCATCCACAGCCTGGATGTGCAGCACCGAGTAGCCCAGAGGAACATTCTCCAGCACCGTGGCCTGGAAGGGAGTGCTCACAAAGATGGGGGCATTGTCATTCACATCTACAACCTGTACCGACACCATACCACTGGAGTTGATCAAAGGAGGTCTGCCCCCATCCTGGGCTTTGATCCGGAGGGTGTACTCCCGAATAGTCTCGTAATCCAGAGGGTTGATGAGGTCGATGGCGCCAGAGAAAGAGTGAATGTAGAACTGGCCTTTCAGGTTGCCACTCACAATGCTGTAGTGCACCTGGGCATTGCTGCCCCGGTCCCGATCTGTGGCCTGTACCTGCAGTATCTGGCTGTTCACTGGGGCATCCTCTGGCACCTGGACCAGGTAGCGCTTCTCACTGAACTGAGGGTAGTTGTCATTCTCATCCTCTACAGTGATGTGCACCATAGCTGTGGCACTGCGCGGTCCTGGGTCCTTGCCCTGGTCGTTGGCTTCCACCACCAGGTGGTACTCAGAGACCTCCTCACGGTCCACCGAAGCTCGGGTCCTCACAACCCCAGAACGCGGGTCAATCTCAAAGACTCCGTCACCAGCACCTGGCTCCAGCAGGCGGTAGAGCATGTTGGCATTGGCTGGGGCATCACCATCAGTGGCACGGATGGTCAGCACCTCATAACCCACCTCCAGGTTCTCCCGGATGCTCTCCCGGTACTCAGGCTGCTCAAACACCGGCTCGTGGTCGTTGGTGTCACTCACAGTCACTGTCAGATAGGTGGTGGCCGAACGGCGGCGTGGGGAACCATGGTCGGAGGCGGTAACCTTCAGCACGTGGGTGTCCTTCGTCTCCCGGTCAAGGCTGCGGGCAGTGACCACACTGCCCGTCTCGGCGTCGATGGTGAAGTAGTCGTTGGAGCGCTCGTCAAAGAGCGCCTCCATGGAGTACGCCAGCCGGCCGGCTTCCCCCTCGTCAGGGTCCTGGGCCCGCAGCACGATGACCGCCGTGCCGGCCGGTTCGTTCTCGGGGATGGAGACCTGGTAGCTGGGCAGCTGGAACTGCGGGGGGCTGTTGAGGCTCCGCGCCCGCCGCGCTCCCCGCCGCCCGCCGCCCTCCCTGCCCGGCAGCGGGGCGCAGCCGGCGGCGGCTCCGCGGG